AATTTCAATCAGTTGTCAACTTGTGATATCACTATGGAGATGTTGTTCGAATTAAAATAGTCCGTGCCCCCTTGAAAGGAGCGAAATGTGATTTGTGTTCTCACCAGCCTCAGCTGTTGGGACACAATCTTCCTTTCCAAGGATTCCAGCAGCAGCAGCAGCTGATCGTCCATTAACTCTGCAGAAATAAACTGGGTTTGGATCCAAAACCTCCCACCACAGTTAGTGGTGGGATGGGAATTGAGAACAGGATAGGAAAGAGTGAAGAGAATGGGAAGGGTGGTCATTTCTTGTAAACAGTGCCCATTTGGTCAGAAGTTCTTTGGATGCTTTAATAGAAAAGATTTGTGCAGGCTCCCTGTGGGAGTGATCTGGCTGTTACTCACGGGATCATGGAATATGGAGTTGGAAGGGACCTACAAGGATAATTGGTGTCCAGCTCTTGTCCCTGCACAGGACACCCCAGCAATCCCACCGTGTGCTGAGAGCATTGTCCAAACACTCCTGGAGCTCTGTCAGCCTTGGGGCTGTGCCCATTGCCTGGGGAGTGTGTTCAGTGCCTGAGCACCCTCTGGGATAAGAACCTTTCCCTGATATCCAACCAAACCATCCCAGGCTCAGCTCCAGCTGTTCCCTCAGGTCCTGTCGCTGGTCACCAGAGCAGAGATCTGGGCTGTCCCTTGAGAGGAAGCTGTGACCAGACTTTGAGGGAGCAGGGAGCCCTGGATGGGTGCAGAGGGGATTTCTCTGGTCTCTCCTCCATGGGACTTGGATGTAGATTCCACTTGAGGAGGAGGATGAGTGTGAGAAGAAGGCAGGAGGGAATGACAGGACTGGGAGTCATCCCTGCCTTGATTTCCCTTTTAAAGACCCAAGGCCTCACCATACAAAGCATCAAGGACGTAGGTGATTCCCTCTGCCAGCGGAAGGAGACGATCTCTTGGAGAGTGCTGTAAGGTGCTGAACAGATCTTTTAAGTGTGGGCTCTCAGTTTTCAGCTCATAACCATAATTTTGCTCAGGAACTTCTTCCATCTGCAAGGAACAAGGCAAAGAAATGTCAGGATTTGAGGGCAGAGGCTGCTGCTTTGTCCAGAGCAGAAGATGTGCTGAGTGAGAGAATTTTGGCTGGACAGTTGTGGCACAGGGCAGGAGGCTTGTGGGGCAAGAGGTGTGCTCCTGGGTGTGTCTGTATTTATAAATGGTGTCAGTAAGAAAAGCTTCACTTACTTTCTGTCTGAGCTCCTGCAGGAGGTTCTTGTCTCTCATCCCAGCTTTGATGGTGTTTAAGACTATGACCAGCAGGTCAGAAGACAGCTCGGGGAAAATTCGGCAGGAGTAGTTAACTTCTGCCACCACTGCTCCTAATTTTCCTTGTGAGGGACCTGCAAACCAGAATGAGACCAAATTTGTCACTTGAGTTCTAGGAGTTCAGGGGCAACTCTAAACCCAGAGTCTGAAACACTCATAGGAAACTATATGGAATTTGGTCAGTTGTGATGTCTCAAGGAAGAGGGCAATGCATCTCTCCTGTTGGTTTGTTTTATGCTGGGAGATTGCATCTTACTCAAAGCAATTAAATGTGCATGTGAAATCAGTAAAATACATACCATCAGCTACATAAGCTGCCCTTCTCACAGGTTCTGCTGGGAAATAATCCAGATCTGAAAGAGGATAAAAGGGACTGTTTTCTGTACCTGCCTTCCCACTGGTGGTCACCCACCCAGTTTCGTCCCTGACTCTCCTGAGTAGGAAAGGAAAAAAAACCACTGAAACTCTGTTCTGTGTGCCATATATCAACTGGAGCTCTGCAGCTTCTGAAAAGTAAATCTGAGCCTTCCTTCTTTCTTTTCTTTAATGACCCCTCCCCCCAGAGAGCATCTTTGACCTTGCCTGTGTTATCTGACTTTTCCCAGGTGATTGCTGTCCCTCACACTGCCTCCTCCTCTTTGCAGACAAGCTGAGGGTAGCTCTGGGGACAAGTCATACTTCATAAAATGTTCTTCCTCTTCTGCACTGTTTCTGGAATGGAGGAATTGGTAATTTCTGCAAGTTGCTTACCCCATGTTCCATCTCTGATGTGTAGCCGGATGGTCCTGAAGGCCAGGGTGCAGCCCTTGGGTATGACTATGCTTTGTTTGTCCTCCCTGGTGCCCTGGTCAAGAAAAAGCACCTGTTAGAACACCTGGGTGCAGGTGTTGGGGAGGGAAGGAGAGAGGAGCCAAACCTGTGCACAGAACGTGGCATAAAATTTGGCCTTGATGCCCCCGTCTGCCTTGGTGGATTCCCTGTAGACGGCCTCCTCTGAGGCTTCGAGGATTTCAGTGACCATATTCAGTGACCATACATAGTTTGATGTCTGTTCTCCGTAGTTGCTGGATGAAGGAATGATCCATGTTGATTTCCCTGGAAGAGGAAAAGGATGGGAAGGGTTTGGATCACCAGGAGTGGCTGAGGCAGCTGAGGGGGATAAGCATGTAAAAGAGGAGGCTCTGGGGGGATCTTGTCATCCCATTCCCTAACGTGGCATAGAGGGAGTTCATGCCCTAAGGTCTTAATCTTGGTTTTAGGCTGTTGATCACCCATTGTTGACCCTATGTGTGCTGGAGGGGGATGACAGGAACTTGTGTGCTCCCTTTGTCATTCCTTACCTTTCTCTTCTCAGTGCCTCCAGTGATTCCAGCGATACGCTCTTCTTCTGTGGTGTAATGGAAAACTCTTTGGACAAGGAGGCACCTCCTTGCAGCCCAACACTTGCAGGGTCAAAAGCAATGCTGAGACCTCCATCAGCTTGGTCAGCGCTGGTTTTTCTGAGGGTAAATTGGCTGGAATCTTGATGGAGAGACTCTGAAATAATTCCATGCATTATCTTAGGCAGGACTACACAGACTCAGCACTGTAAGTATATCACACACAGGAGAGCTGGAACATGGTACAGCTTAGCCACAAATGATTAAAAAATATTATCTATGGTATTTGATAAATTCCTATTGATAAATTTGGGGCTTACCTATGCATTTACCATCTTCTCCAGGCAGCAGCACATCTTCCAGTGTGAACCCTGTCCTCTGGTAGTAGGGAGCTGAGTGGAATATGCGGTTTGATTTTCTTCTTTCTATCAGTAGACAGAGAGGCCTGAAATGCTCATTGTCTGCGATGCTCTCGACAGGGACCAATTCTTTGCATGGATCCATTTGACTTACAAGGAATTTGGTGAGTTTTTTAAACATTCTGCTGTGGCTGAAGTTTTGAAGCAAAGCCAAGTGTATTTGTGCTTTGGGAAAGAGGGAAAACAACCTAAGCCAAATTACTTGACATAATACCAGGGCACTGTAACAAAGTGTGACTTTAATGATTAAGAAGATTTCAAAATAATGACTCAAAATCCCCTTCATGGTCCAGGGCCACAAGTTTTAAAGGGTTGTTACAGGGCGAGTTGGTTGTTACAGGGAGAGTTGGTTGTTACAGGGAGAGGAAGCAGCAGGAGCTGTGGGTTGTTTGTCCTTGTTCGCCTTTGCTGGTGAACCCCAGTGATAGTGCAGTTGGCAAAGATTTCAGGCCCTCAGGGTGCTGGTTTTGAGGACAAATGTCTGCCAAAATAGAGAGAAATCAGCCCAGCCCAGCCTTGTTGGGCAGACCCTGGTGATGTGCAGGGGAGAGGCTGGTGTTTGAGGGCCAGAAAAAAATCCCTTTTTGTTTTCTGAGACAGCTTGCTTTCACCAAAAAGTTTCAGTTTCGCTTTTCTGGTGTTTTACGGGATGGAAATGGGGAGGGGAAATTGGGCAATCCAGACTGGTTTTGATGGGAAGGGGCCTTAAGACTGATCCCATTCCCCCCCCTGCCCTGGTCAGGTACACTTTCCAGTCTCCCAGGCTGCTCCAAGCCCTGCCCAGCCTGGCTATAGACTCTTCCATGGATAGGGCAGCCACAGCTTCTCACAGGGCAACCTGTTCTGGGGCCTCAGCAACCTCATACAGAGGAATTTCTTCCCAATATCCCATCTAACCCTGTCCTCTTTGCCAAATTCCAAAGACAAATAGCTTAGCCCATGCAGGACTCATTCCCTTGAAGGTTTCCAAGAAGAGAAGAAAAACTGATGAAGAGCTCTTAACAGAGAGCTCCCACCAATCCTCTCCCCTATCCAAAGCTCTGGAATAGTGCATTTGCCTGTTTGTGGGTGATGAGTGTGCAGAGCAGTGGGGCTGCTGTGGTAATGTGGCCTCTGGAGAGCAGCAGGACTGGGGAGAATTTCTCTGGCTTCCCTTGTGCTCAGAGGTGTGGAAGTGTTTCCGAAGTACAGGAGCTGTGAGCTGCACAGGAAGCTCACACCACCAGAAAGCCACAGCAAACAGTAAACTGATTTCTCTTACCTTGCTACACGGGGGGTTCACTGAAGAAACAGCTGGACAGGAGAGACCTGGAAGACCTCTGGCTGTTTGTAGCAGCTTCTCAGAAGTTGTTCCCAGCTGTGAGGTCACTTCAGCAATGTTACATCCTCAGTGTTCCGTTTCCACAAATCAGCTGTTGCTTGCATAACACTTCCTTTTTTACTCATTGGGCAGAGTCTGTTACAGGGGCTGTGAATAACTGGAACTTCTACAGATGTAGGAGATGTGAGCCCATCCAGGGAAGTGTCCTAGACCAGACTGGACAGCAGGTGGGATTGGATGGGCTTTAAGTCTCTTCAGGCCAAACCATTCCATCATTCCATGCTTCAACTTTTTTGAGCCATATAACACTGCTGTTCTTTGACAGATGGAGAAATGGACTCAGGAGGGGATATTGGGAAGAAATTCCTCTCTGTGAGGCTGGTCAAGCCCTGGCATAGGTGCCTAGAGCAGCTGTAGTTGCCCCATCCCTGGGAGTGTCCAAGGCCATGTTGGACAGGGCTTGGAGCAACCTGGGATAGTGGAAGGTGTCCCTGCCCATGGCAGGGGTGGCACTGGATGAGTCTTAAGTTGAATTCCAACCCGAGCCATGTTTCCTATAGTCACTGCCCTGCTTGTTTGACACCAAAAGCCATCCATGTGAAGATTCCAGAAGGCAAGTGCACATTTTTACCTGAATACTTCACTTTTATTAGTCTATCTTAGAATACTATACAAACAAGTAATAAAAGTATTAACACTTTATTTTAGAAAGTTCTCTACATGAGACTGCTGTATCCACATCAAGGGCCCTTATTTCTTGTACAGCCTCAATCCTGAGGTTGTCAGATGTACCATGGGCCCCAAAAGACACAAAATTAATAAATTGCCTTAGAGAACACCCAATTGCTTAGCAAGAAGCTGCTCTTTATAAATAAAGTGATAAAGAGAGTATTTGTAGTGTTTCTTTGAAGTGCTGCCCATGACTCTTGAGCATCTCGGGGAGATGGGACCAGGGAGGTGTCAGTGAAGCCTTTGGGATCACCCCACCTTCCTACAACCAGCAGTTAACAGAGTCCCTGCTGAACCAGAGTGGGACCAGGATGAATCACTGCTGATGTTTTCCTTTGCCATTTGTTTTCTTTTCATTTCCTCCCTTTTCTTTTGCATTTCTTTTTTGCCTTTGTATGTTCTTTCCCTTTTCCCTTGCATCTCCCCTTTCCCTCTGCATTCCCTTCCCCTTCCCTTCCCCAGTTACTGATTGCAGAAGCAGCAGCAGCATTTTGAGGGAAGCAGGATTACATGAGGCACCAGTGCCAGGCCTGTGATTATTTAGGCTTGTGGACTTTCCTGTTATCCCTCAGTATTCTCAGGGAGACAGGCAGACAAATCCACTTTGATATCCAGCCTTTAGCATCCAGAATGATTTTTCCAGCCTTAAATTTGCTTTTGCCAGCCAAAGCAGCCTTGAGCATTAACAAGGATGATACTGGGACAGAAAGCTGGCTTGAGAGCAGAGATTTCCCAAGACATTGTAGAGAAGTTCCCTGGGCAGGGCCAGGTACCTCCTACTCAGAGCCACTCAGGAGGTTGAGGGCGTACAGAGCCACAAACAAGGCTGCCATGGGCTCAAAGGGTTGATCCCTCAGGAGAGCTGATCCATCTTCCTGGAGCTGCACTCCACTCAGCTCCACCAGTTCCATGGTTAACCTCTGTTCCTCCTCGTGTGGGAAGGAAAGCAGCTCAGCATCAAAATGGAAAGTCTCCTTCCCCTTATCCAGGTCATGATTCAGGAGGTTTTCAACCTTTAAACAACAATAGAAAAAGCAAAATCAGAATTTCAATCAGTTGTCAACTTGTGATATCACTATGGAGATGTTGTTCGAATTAAAATAGTCCGTGCCCCCTTGAAAGGAGCGAAATGTGATTTGTGTTCTCACCAGCCTCAGCTGTTGGGACACAATCTTCCTTTCCAAGGATTCCAGCAGCAGCAGCAGCTGATCGTCCATTAACTCTGCAGAAATAAACTGGGTTTGGATCCAAAACCTCCCACCACAGTTAGTGGTGGGATGGGAATTGAGAACAGGATAGGAAAGAGTGAAGAGAATGGGAAGGGTGGTCATTTCTTGTAAACAGTGCCCATTTGGTCAGAAGTTCTTTGGATGCTTTAATAGAAAAGATTTGTGCAGGCTCCCTGTGGGAGTGATCTGGCTGTTACTCACGGGATCATGGAATATGGAGTTGGAAGGGACCTACAAGGATAATTGGTGTCCAGCTCTTGTCCCTGCACAGGACACCCCAGCAATCCCACCGTGTGCTGAGAGCATTGTCCAAACACTCCTGGAGCTCTGTCAGCCTTGGGGCTGTGCCCATTGCCTGGGGAGTGTGTTCAGTGCCTGAGCACCCTCTGGGATAAGAACCTTTCCCTGATATCCAACCAAACCATCCCAGGCTCAGCTCCAGCTGTTCCCTCAGGTCCTGTCGCTGGTCACCAGAGCAGAGATCTGGGCTGTCCCTTGAGAGGAAGCTGTGACCAGACTTTGAGGGAGCAGGGAGCCCTGGATGGGTGCAGAGGGGATTTCTCTGGTCTCTCCTCCATGGGACTTGGATGTAGATTCCACTTGAGGAGGAGGATGAGTGTGAGAAGAAGGCAGGAGGGAATGACAGGACTGGGAGTCATCCCTGCCTTGATTTCCCTTTTAAAGACCCAAGGCCTCACCATACAAAGCATCAAGGACGTAGGTGATTCCCTCTGCCAGCGGAAGGAGACGATCTCTTGGAGAGTGCTGTAAGGTTCTGAACAGATCTTTTAAGTGTGGGCTCTCAGTTTTCAGCTCATAACCATAATTTTGCTCAGGAACTTCTTCCATCTGCAAGGAACAAGGCAAAGAAATGTCAGGATTTGAGGGCAGAGGCTGCTGCTTTGTCCAGAGCAGAAGATGTGCTGAGTGAGAGAATTTTGGCTGGACAGTTGTGGCACAGGGCAGGAGGCTTGTGGGGCAAGAGGTGTGCTCCTGGGTGTGTCTGTATTTATAAATGGTGTCAGTAAGAAAAGCTTCAGTGTGCTCCTGGGTGTGTCTGTATTTATAAATGGTGTCAGTAAGAAAAGCTTCACTTACTTTCTGTCTGAGCTCCTGCAGGAGGTTCTTGTCTCTCATCCCAGCTTTGATGGTGTTTAAGACTATGACCAGCAGGTCAGAAGACAGCTCGGGGAAAATTCGGCAGGAGTAGTTAACTTCTGCCACCACTGCTCCTAATTTTCCTTGTGAGGGACCTGCAAACCAGAATGAGACCAAATTTGTCACTTGAGTTCTAGGAGTTCAGGGGCGAGTCTGAAACACTCATAGGAAACTATATGGAATTTGGTCAGTTGTGATGTCTCAAGGAAGAGGGCAATGCATCTCTCCTGTTGGTTTGTTTTATGCTGGGAGATTGCATCTTACTCAAAGCAATTAAATGTGCATGTGAAATCAGTAAAATACATACCATCAGCTACATAAGCTGCCCTTCTCACAGGTTCTGCTGGGAAATAATCCAGATCTGAAAGAGGATAAAAGGGACTGTTTTCTGTACCTGCCTTCCCACTGGTGGTCACCCACCCAGTTTCGTCCCTGACTCTCCTGAGTAGGAAAGGAAAAAAAACCACTGAAACTCTGTTCTGTGTGCCATATATCAACTGGAGCTCTGCAGCTTCTGAAAAGTAAATCTGAGCCTTCCTTCTTTCTTTTCTTTAATGACCCCTCCCCCCAGAGAGCATCTTTGACCTTGCCTGTGTTATCTGACTTTTCCCAGGTGATTGCTGTCCCTCACACTGCCTCCTCCTCTTTGCAGACAAGCTGAGGGTAGCTCTGGGGACAAGTCATACTTCATAAAATGTTCTTCCTCTTCTGCACTGTTTCTGGAATGGAGGAATTGGTAATTTCTGCAAGTTGCTTACCCCATGCTCCATCTCTGATGTGTAGCCGGATGGTCCTGAAGGCCAGGGTGCAGCCCTTGGGTATGACTATGCTTTGTTTGTCCTCCCTGGTGCCCTGGTCAATTCAGTGACCATACATAGTTTGATGTCTGTTCTCCGTAGTTGCTGGATGAAGGAATGATCCATGTTGATTTCCCTGGAAGAGGAAAAGGATGGGAAGGGTTTGGATCACCAGGAGTGGCTGAGACAGCTGAGGGGGATGTGTTGGTTTTCCATGGCCTGGTTTTTGGTAGCAGGGGTCCTCAGAGGTGGTTTTTGTGAGAAGCTGCCAGAAGATTCTACCATGATGGCTGATGGCTCTGAAGATGGACATGCTGCTGGTCAAGCCTGGGCCAATTAGAGATGTTGTTAACAGCTCTGTTTTAACATACTTAAGAAGAAAATCAAAACAAATTGGGACACAGTTTTTTCCTAGACAGAGAAGAGGATGAGGGGAGAACATGTGGGGGAAACAGCATGGAGACACCAAGGTCAGTGGAGAAGGAGGGGCAGGAGGTGCTCCAGGTGCTGGAGCCCTGATTCCTCTGCAGGCTGTGGTGAAGACCACGGTGAAGCAGCTGTGCCTCTGTAGCCCATAGGGATCCACAGGGGATGCAGAGCTCCATCCACAGCCCATAGGGATCCACAGGGGATGCAGAGATCCACCCAGAGCCCATGGGGGAGGTGCCCATGCCACAGCAGGTGGATGCCTGGAGGAGGCTGTGATCCAGTGAAAGACCTGGTGGAGAGAGTGGGCCCCTGCTTCCAGGTTGGAGCCTGTCCTTGGAGGACTGCACCCCATGGAAGAGTCATCCACACCACAGCAGTTTTGAGAGGACTATTGCCTATGGGAAGGATTCCTGTTACAGCAGTTTTAGCAGGACTGCTGCTTGTGAGACTTGGAACTATACTGGACAAGTTCATGGAGAACTGTCTCCCATGGGAAAGAACCCCCCACAGCATAGGAGGGGAAAGACTCCTCTCCTTGAGCAGCAGAAGGAAACCCCAGAAAAACTGACCAAACAAACCACCCAAAACCCCCATGCCCTTTCCCTGGCACTGTTGGTGGGAAGGAGGGAGGGGCTGGAGAACAAAAAGGTGTTTTTAAGGGCTTAGTTAATTTCTCATTATCCTTCTTTGATTTTGTTAGTAAAAAATTCACTTTGTACTTTTAAATTGAGCCTGTTTTACCCTTTGAGTGTTTTCTCAAGGTCCTTATCTCAACTCATGAACTCTTTGTTTAATATTTTCTCTCTCCTCTGCCCAGCTGTAGTGAGGGAGAAAATGAGTGATTTTTGTCAGTGTCTGGCATTTGGCCAGTGTCAAACCACAAAAGGGGGATAAGCCTGTAGAAGAGGAGAGTCAGGGGCACCTTGTCATCCTATTCCCTGTCTAACCTGGCTTAGTTAGGGGAAATTCATGCCCTAAGGTCTTAATCTTGGTTTCAGGCTGTTGACCTTGGGTGTGCTCCCTTTGTCATTCCTTACCTTCCTCTTCTCAGTGCCTCCAGTGATTCCAGTGGTACTCTCTTCTTCTGTGGTGTAATGGAAAACTCTTTGGACAAGGAGGCACCTCCTTGCAGCCCAACACTTGCAGGGTCAAAAGCAATGCTGAGACCTCCATCAGCTTGGTCAGCGCTGGTTTTTCTGAGGGTAAATTGGCTGGAATCTTGATGGAGAGACTCTGAAATAATTCCATGCATTATCTTAGGCAGGACTACACAGACTCAGCACTGTAAGTATATCACACACAGGAGAGCTGGAACATGGTACAGCTTAGCCACAAATGATTAAAAAATATTATCTATGGTATTTGATAAATTCCTATTGATAAATTTGGGGCTTACCTATGCATTTACCATCTTCTCCAGGCAGCAGCACATCTTCCAGTGTGAACCCTGTCCTCTGGTAGTAGGGAGCTGAGTGGAATATGCGGTTTGATTTTCTTCTTTCTATCAGTAGACAGAGAGGCCTGAAATGCTCATTGTCTGCGATGCTCTCGACAGGGACCAATTCTTTGCATGGATCCATTTTACTTACAAGGAATTTGGTGAGTTTTTTAAACATTCTGCTGTGGCTGAGGTTTTGAAACAAAGCGAAGGGGATTTCTGCCTTGGGAAAGAGGCAACACAAATTAAGCCAAATTCCTTGAAATAATAGCACAGAATCACAGAATGAACTAGGATGGAAAAGATCTTTGAGATCACCTAGTCCAACCTATGACCAAACACTTCCTTATCAACTAAGTCATGGCACTGAGTGTCACGTCCAGTCTTTCTTTAAACACGTCCAGGAATGATTACCAACTCTCTGGGCAGATGATTCCAGTCACCAATCACCTTTTCAGTGAAGAATATTTTCCTGATGTCTAAGCTAAACTTCCCCTGGTGCAGCTTAAGCAAGATGTTGTAACAAAGTGTTAGTTTAATTATTAAGTTATTTTCAAAATAGTAACCGATATTACCCAGGGACACAAGTTTCACAGGGTTGTTACAGAGAGCATTTGGAGAGGAAGCAGCAGGGGCCGTGGGTTGTTTGGCTTGTTCGCCTTTGCTCTGTACAACCCCAGTGATTATACAGAGACAACACAGCTGGCAGACTCTGAAGATGCTGGTTTTGGGGACAAATATCCACCAAAATAAGAGAGAAATCAGCCCAGTCCAGCTCCTTGGACAGACCCTGGTGGTCTGCAGGGGACAGATGGTGTTTGAGGGCCAGAAAGAAATCCCTGTTTCTATTCTGACACGGCTTGTTTTTATCAAAAAGCTCCAGTTTCACTTTTCTGGTGTTTTACAGGATGGAGGTGGAGAGCAATTGAGAAATTGAGCAATCCAGAATGGTTTGGGTGGGAAGTGACGTCTAGGATCATCCCATTCCCCTCCCTGCCATGGTCAGGGATGCATCCCACTGTTCCAGCCTGCTCCAAGCCCCATCCTACCCGGCCTTGGACACTGCCAGGGATGTCAGCCAGCTGGTGCCAGTGCCTAACCACCCTCATACAGAGGAATTTCTTCCCAATATCCCATCTAACCCTGCTTTCTTACAGTTTGAACCATTCCAAAGACAAGTATCTTTGTGTGCTCAATGTTAGTAGCGCTTCTAGACTCTTTCCCTTGGAAGTCTCCAAGAGCAGAGGAAAACCAAACAAGAGCACTTAAATAAGAGAGCTCCCACCAACCCTCCCCTACCCAAAGCTCTGGGATAATGCACTTACCTGTTTGTGGGGTGGTGGATGTGCAGAGCAGAGCGTGAAGCTGCTGAGGTGATGCAGCCTCTGGAGAGCAGCAGGACTGGGGAGAAGTTCTCTGTCTCTCTGCCAAAGGTGTGGAAATATTTGCTAAGTATGGGAGTGCCACAGGAAGCTGGCATCATCACAAACCCAGAGCAAACAGTAAACTGATTTCTCTTACCTTGCTGACAGTAGGGTCCCCAAAGCAACCCCTGGGCATGGGCAATGTTAGATCTGATCCATGCTGGTAGATCCCCAGCTGTTCACACCAGACTTATTATTGCCCAGAGTTATTCCCAGCTGGAACAATTTACCATCCTCTTCCCCAGTGTTCTGTTTCCTCAAAATGGCCATTGCTGGTGTAACTCTTCCTAGAGCAGAGTCTGTTACTGGGGCTGTGGATAACTGGAACTTTACAGATGTAGGAGATGTGAGCCCATCCAGGGAAGTGTCCAACATCAGTTTGGACAGGAAGGTATCCCTGCCCCTGGCAGCAGGTGGGATTGGATGGGCTTTAAGTCTCTTCAGGCCAAATCATTCCATCATTCCATGCTTCAACCTTATTGAGACAGGTAATGTTGCTCCTCTTTTACAGATGGAGAAATGGGATCAGGAGGGGATATTGTCAAGAAATTCCTCCATGGGAAGTGGGGTGAGGCCCTGGCACAAATTGTCCAGAGAAGCTGTGGTTGCCCCATCCCTGGGAGTGTCCAAGGCCAGGTTGGACAGGGCTTGGAGCAACCTGGGATACTGGAAGGTGTCCCTGCCTATGGCAGAAGGCAGGAATTGATTAGCCTTCAGATGTCTTTCAGTCTGAACCATTCCATGTTTCCCATAATCACTGCCATATTTGACACCAAAAGCCATCCATGTGAAGATTCCAGAAGGCAAGCACACATTTTTACCTGAATACTTCACTTTTATTAGTCTCTCTTAGAATACTGTACAAAGGAGTAATAAAAATATTCACACTTTATTTTAGAAAGTTCTCTACATGAGACTTCTGTATCCACAGCAAAAAGAAGGCTATGGGAAAAAAAACCCTAAAACTTTGTACAGAACATTCCTTTAAAAAACCCTCCCAACTAATTCAGCTGATTTAACTGATCCAAGGAGGGTATGGACACACCAACACTCGCATGCTTAAAGATATTCTAGGCAATGATAAAGCAACATAAGTCACAAGGAGAAATATTAATGTGTTAACCCACTGCTGTCCCCTCCTTGAGGGCCAGTACCGAGCTAAAAACAACCCAAAACTGAACAGTAATTCAAACATAAAAGTACTCGAGAATAAGTAGCCCTCCATTTAGTTTATTCTAGAGGCTTTTTCCTACAAAAGTTTGGACTATTTGCCAGCCTGGTAGCTCTGAAAGGACTCCCAGGTCAGGATCCCTGATTCAGGAGCATCAGGCTGGGAGGACTTGCTGGTTTTCTGAGTGTCCTGGAGCAGGGGCTGCTGTACCCCATGGAAACGTGCGTGGTGCTGACAGTGGCTGAGGAGGCTTTGCTAAGTACAGGATGGGACAAGCTGCTGCCAGTTCCTGAGAAGGATTCCAGCCTTTCAAAAGCTTTTCTCTTTCATTGCAGAACAAAACAGAAAAGCTTCAAATACCTTCTTGCCACAGATTGTTTCTCCATCACAGGAGATATGATCTCTCCAGGTAGAAACTTGTCCTGAACATGATACAGGGCAAGTGTAGAGGAAATCTGTCAAGTGTGATGTGATCAGAATCCCATTAAAATCAGTAACAATCAGAATCCCATTTAAAATCAGTAACAATCAGTTATCTCCTCCATGCAGGCACCTGGGGAGTTCTGCTCACGCTTTGTTTCTCCTCCCACAATGTGGCTTCACCCCGATCCATCCCCTGCCAGGACATGTCTGACCAACCCTCAGCCTGCTCATGCTGTCCTTTCACTTCAGACTGCCTCAGGTACACAAAAGAATGGTGGTTTAATTACAATTAACTTCCTGCTTTTTATTTTTGATTGATCCTGACACCTATCCTTAAGTTGGGATCTTAAGGAAGATGCTACCTGATGTGTAATTGTTCAAATACTTATTAATCATATATAGATGCTTAACTCACCACAACAGAACATGAAATCTCACTTCTTTTCATATTTCTTCTATTTCCATTTATGTTTCCCTTGATTGGATTAATTGAGCCCAGGTTAATCTCGGTTATTCCATGGAAAAATGCCACACCTGTGTTGTAATGAGTGTCACATGACTGGCATTGCCTGTTTTGATCATTTGTGTGAAGGAGAGAAATCAAATGTTGTTTACTTTTGTTGCTAGGCAGAGTCTTATTTACAAGTTTGGGGCTTTAGGCTTTAGAACCTGCTTATTTGTGAAGTTTGTAATCCCATTCTGCATCCCAGTTGATCTTTAATTTAAGCAAACAGGGTCAGATGTCCATAGTGTCAGTGAGCACACAAATATTCAAACCCACAGCTGTGTTAATGCCTTCAAGGAGACTCTGGGAATTGCTGTATCTCATAAAAAAAGTCAATCCTTTCAATTGATAATTATTCTAAATTTACAGATCTGTGATGTGCATATGCTTAGAAATATCCAGCATATGTCTGTCTGTGAGGAGTCATGTTTGAAAGCATCTAGAGGCCGTTTCTGTTGCAAAAAAAGACGTTTTTCCCCATGTTTTCTATGACAATAATTAATTTTCTTTTGTTTCCCCTTGAGATGGAAGTGGTGTCTGGGCAGACACTCAGGTCTGTTCAGCATCACAGTCAGCATTTCAGGTCCAGCCTCAGCTGCCCTGCCAGGACCTGCCCCTCCTTGGAGCAGCCTCTCCCACAAGAATACTGCTTATGTCCGTGTCATTTCTCAGCTGATTGATGAAATATCTCTATTTTTATCACAATTATCATTGTCTAGTAGCTTAAAGAGCCGATTAGGGTAGAGAGTACCTCAGCTAAAGCAGCAGCTCTTCTATCCTAGGTTTGAAGGTTTAAACTGCCCGTCAAGGAAATTGCACATCTCTCAATACCCTGGTGTCTCCAGCCAGACTCTCTTCTTCTTCTACCTGCTTGAAAACTTCCTTTTCATTTGGATTTCCAATTTTCAAACACATTAGGGAATGATTCTTCCTGCATTCCAGCAGCCCTCTGAGGTACACTCCATATTTTCCCTTCCCTGTAGCAGTCCCATAGGAAGTCTGAGAGAGAAGTGAAGCAACTTGTCTAAAATTATGCATGGAGTAGTAACAGATCTGAATTTCCCCCTTTCATGTCCATGCTCAGACCATCCAAAACCTCAACACTCTCCACCACGGCCTCTAAAGCTGGATTTGCTACTGCAGGGACAAAAAAAAAATTTAAAAATTTAAAAGATTTAAAAGATTTATACCATTGTCAAAAAAGGTGAGATAATATAAGCACTAAGACAACAAAAATACAGGTTTTCATGGGGTTACAGGGGAAGAGTGAAGGAAAACCCATTTCATCTGGGACACAACCCAAAGGAAAATCAGGTCATTCTGATTTTCAGTAAAACAGTAAAATCTGTCTCAGCCAGAAAACCTAAGCCTGCTTTATTTAGGTATTAATTTTAGAGGAAAAAGGCTTGATTTTGTTCCTCTGTGAAAAGATCTATTATCTGTGACTAATTGACTCCTTCTGCTGGTCAATTCATCTGCTGCTGGTGCTGCTGCTCACACAGCCCTTGGGCATGGAGCTGAGGGACAGATTTCCAGGTAAGCCAGAAATCCAACCCTTGAGTCCATGGAGAACTGGCAAATCCCAGTCACATGCACTTAAACTAACCAAGGAGCTGAAGTGAGGAGAAAAATTCCAAGTCAAGGATAGCTGCATGCTTGATTAGAGCAATCAGCCCTCCTCCTGTACCTGCCCATTGTCAGCCTTTCCCACATCTGTCCATGTCCATGTTCTAAGGAGCTCCATTTTTATCAGTCATTAAATCACCTGCCCCTAGCCCTTGATCCAAATGCCCACTGAGCCCTTGTGAACTTAAAAACAGCAGTTTGGGGTGGGGAGAGGAGTTACCTGGGTAGATTTGGGTATAAACTGAAAATAACAAGCATGATTTAGGCTGTAGGAAACCAAAAGCTTTGTCAAACTGCAGGTCATTCCTTCCTGTGCTGTTTTTAGGAAAAACACTTCCCTTCTCAGTGGTGTCAACAATTGCAAAATAAAAATCTGTCATTCACTTCCCCCTCCCACTTCCCACCTAAAACTGGAAATCAGACCCTAAAACAATCCAGTCCTGGGAAAGTCTGGCTGTATCCCTTTGGATTTCCCTCACGTTCTGCTCAAAGCACCCAGCTTCAGGAAGGGAAAACATATTTTAAAGTGCATTTACCACAGCAATAGTACCAGCACTAAAAGCTTTTCCCCTCATCCCTATCCTCGTCATTCCATGTCTGGAACAGATGAGACTCTTCCCAGAATTCATCCTTGTTGTACCTCAAAGTCTCAGTGGTTTTCCATCTATTGATCACCCTGGGACAAGAGAAATCCGGTGTCGCGTGTCCTGCTCCGCACTAAACTCTACTCTGGAGTTGGTTTGGATTCATTGGGCACGAGGATCCAGCATGCGGAATGTATCTGTTGGGATCTGCATTTAAACAGCCGCTGCGAAACCACATCCCAGTCTGCGTGGGGGAGGAAACGGGGCTGGAGAGAAGGGATCCCCCCTTGGCCCCGCTCCTCCGCCATCCGCTCCGGCCACGCCACTCAGTACTTGTTGATCCCAAAGATCCGGACTCCGTGGAACTGAGGCAGTTTGGGGATCAGGACGCTCATCAGGGAGATGGTGTTGATGATGAAGTGTATCCGGTCGTACTTGGTGTAAAAGCTGGTTAGAAAATACCTGGAAAGGGAGGGTGGGAACAGAGGGAGAGGCAAACTGAGCTGTGCCATTCCGTGTGTGCGTCTCCCAGGACAGAACGCTGATGGGTACTGGGACACGAGGCAGCTCAGCCAGCCCAGAATACTCACAGGACGATGGGCATGATGGTGAGGAACTTGCGGGACGCGGTGAACTGGACTCCATAATCCATCTGCTCCCAGTGCGTGAGCAGCCGGGCCTTGCCCTGGTCCGGGGTCTCGAAGGGGGTTCCCTTCACGGTGTGCAGGAAGATGTACATGCTCTGCGGGACACACAGCGTGAGGCACACTGCATCCCAAAAACCCAGCATCCAGGGAGCGGATCCGGGAGCCTGCACCCCCGCGCCGTTCCACTAGAGGGATGTGGCGCCGCTGGAAAACCCGGAGCGGCCAGGGAAGCAGGAAAAGGAGAGTTGGGAAAGGCCGGGGCAGCTCGGCTGCTCCACGTCAGGCCTCGCTCGGCTCCTGGGTGTGAGCCAAGGAGGCGGTGGCAAGATTACAGCCGTGGGATCTCTGCGATCGGGAGATTAGAGCCTGCCTGCTGCGGCACGGCGAAAGGCTCCCTGAAAATGTGCTGGGAGAAGGTCTGTCACCCCCTGATTACCAGGGGAACACAAGTCACAAACATTCCAGCTACAGCTCCACTCCTGGCCTTTAAATTCCTTTTTGTCCCCAGAACCTAAAGCTGCCAGGGAAGATGATGAGAAGCCAGCAGCTCGTGAGCTGAGTGCTGAGCAGCTCCAGTTTGGGGATTTGTGGTTGTTTTTATCCCCTGAGCAGCTCCAGTTTGGGCGTTTGTGGAGGTTTTTATCCCTCTCTAGTAATAACTTATCATGAGGGTCCTCAATCCCTGTCATTTTTGTCTCTGGAATAGTCCCAGCCTGAGGTATTATTTAAAATAAAAGATGCACGAGGAGTTGCTCTATCCCTGAAGTTTTTTGTCCCTCGTGCCTAAAGGGACCTATGTGGGGACTTGATCTTCAGAGGGGGAAATCAGTTCCTAGACTAATCTTTTACTTTAAGCAGAACAAAATCTGGGAGTTAATCTTGTTTTTTCTTAACTCTCACGAGGCCAATTCAGGTTTTACCAACCCCGGTGATGTCTTACCAGTGTCTGGGGCCTGTCACAGACCCCTTTGGGAAGGGGACACGACAAAGGACTTGCCCTACAGGAAATGAATCCATGTCCCCTCTGAGCAGCCTCACCAGGTGTTGCTGCCTCACCTGTACCTGGGCTGGATTTAAATCCATGTCCCAGAGGCACCAGAACAGGCTGAGGGCTGGAGGTTGAGCAACTCAGCCGGCATCTTTGGAAACACAAAGGGATTGTTCCAACAGCAATCCCAGCAGATTGCTCAGGGGAACAGCTGTGCCAAGGCTCCCCATATGTGCCCCGGGCCATGCCGCTCCCTTACCAGGTTGTGGATGATGTTGGTGAGAGTCCAGACCACGGGGACGCTGAAGAAGGGGATGCTCAGGAGCACGACGTGCAGCAGCCCGATGCCCAGCACGTAGGACAGCCAGATGCCGCGGCTGTTCATGACCCGCGTGTTGGGGTTCACCTCGCTGTGCGCCGTTCCCACGTTCATCCTGACTCTCGTGGCTGACGGGAGCCCCTGGAACAGAAACACTGAGTTCAGAGCCCGGATCCAAACTGCTCAGTGGGGCTGAGCACCGGCTGGTTGTCAAGCAAACCCAAAATCTGCTGTTTGCTATAAAAATCCCAAGTCAGTTCCCTCCTCTGCCACTCGTTATTGCCATTCTTAGAGCTGACGTCGCTGACTCCGGGAGTGGTTAAGATTTGGGAATTATGTGTGGGAAGCTTGTCTGTGACAGAAGCTTCTTGTGATTTGAGATGTTTTCCTGGAGCCGAGGTGTTGAGGTTCAATCCCTGACAAAACTCAAATCAATACTTTTAAGCACTTTCAAATCACAGTGTTAGTCATGGAAACACAGCACAGGAAGCTTCCTGCATGTTTATGGATGGAAGAGAACAGAGTATTTGCAGAGGAAAGGTTCTGTATCGACAGATCTCCTAATTAATTTAACTAAATTAACAGGGTTCTGCACAGCTTGGGAGGTCTCCTTGCTGGTCTACTCTGGTTCACGTGTTTTGCCTTCAGATTTAAGACTTACAAAGGGGGGAAAAAAAGAGGAACAGAAAAGAATTTGCCCCCCAGGGAAGGAATGAGATTCTTCTGGAGGAACGTAAAAAGGGAGAGATAATAATGAAAAGTGCCTTGGGAGGATGTTTCAGGAGGAAGAGCTGTGGAGGAGTCGGCCCTTCCCCTACCTGGAAAGAACAACTGCCATGTAGGAGGAGCATAAAGATGGTTTTCTGGACAATGCCAGGAAGGAGAGGAAGCAAGAGAGTGTCACCTTCTCAGAGCAAGTCCTTGGAGTGGTGCCCCTGAGACACTGAAGGTATCAAGTGGCTTTCTGGACTGACACAGTGCCAGTGGCAGCAGGAGAGCTCTGGCTCACTGGTATCCAGGGATTACAGAAAACAGCACAAACTAAACCCACTGTAAAGCTGAATGTCTTCACACCAAGATCAGGGAAATTCTTATGTAAAATCATCTTCGTGTCCCATGGAAGAGCAGTTTGATGAGATGATCCATTTCATCCTCCTTGGCTACAGCACCCCACAGTGAAGGCTGTTTCCTGATGTCTGGCCTCATGGCTTTGCTATTGCTTCCCACAGCTGGAAGCCGTGTTGCTTTTCCCTCCAGCTCTCCAGAGGCGAGCCCGAGCCAGATCCAACATCTCACTCTCCTCACTGCCAGCTGTTCCCAGCTCCCTCATGGAGTGCTGGGCCTGCCTTGTCTCAGGAGCTGGCACCATCCCCGCTCCTGCCCAGGGCTGGGACTCACAGCCAGCCTCCACTCCACAGCTCTTGGAATGCTCCAAGGAACTCCCAAACCTCTTCCACGCACACAGGCAGCTGTTGCTGCAGATCCTCACCTCACTCTTTCAGGGGGTCATACCTGGAGAAGGATTTTGTTTCCAGGAATGAGGCTGCAGGTCTGTGGGATGCTCACTCCCTTGTTGCCCACCTCCCAGCTCACCAGCTTCTGGATACTCCAGAGAAAAGCCTAGAGTTTAGTTTGGGAACAGGACTGGGAGCCAGAGTTCAGTGCTTCAGCCTTGGCAGAGGGAGCAGCTCTGTCCTAAACCTGCTGCAATTCCCAAGGGCTCTCAGAAGGAAAACTGGGGGTTGGGGTGAAACATAAATGAGTCAAAAAGAGTCAGATTGTTACAACAACAAAAAGCAAAACACCCTATGGAATGTGTAAACAGGAGTGCTGAGTGCCAGACATGGGAAATAGTTCTCCTGGATGTTGGGTGAACACTGTCCAGTCCTGGGAGGAGCTGGAGAAAATGAGCAGAGGTGTAGGAAAAACATGACCTGCAAGGACAGCTGGAAGGAAACGGGTTTGTTTAGTCTGGAGGATGCTGGAGACAGGCGTGAGGACACTCCACAGTGAGCTGTGGCTGTGGGATTCCAGCTGTGCAGCAGGAGGAACCACACAGGGGTGCAGGAGGAGGGATGTGGGAAGGGACTGCCCACAGAAAGGGATCTGAGCTCTTGCTGGAGGCCTTAAAATCTACTTTAATCAACAGATAAAAACCTCCTCTCCAGGAGTCTTTCCTGATACCATTATCCAAGGGCTGTGGAAGCCCCCTGCAGCCAGAGGAGCACGTGGCTGGTGCTGTGGAATTTCCAACCATGACTGTAACTTCCAGAAACTAAGAGCAGCTTGGACTTGGTCTCCTCTGCAGACCCACAGCTGGGTGGGAAAGCGCCCAACTTGGAAGCTGTATGTGAAGCAATTCTCTTTCCTGTGCCTCAGTTTCCCTTCCTTGTAAAATTAAGGATTAGAGGGTTGGAATGCTGGAATATATGAGATGTTAATTCATTCTTGTAGGAGATACAGACACACCAAGCATTCACTACTGCAATGAGGGTGATTCCCCATCTCAAGCTCTGTCCTTCCCCACATTAAATATTTCACCAGCTCTGCCCTGGGCTCTGCAGCCCTTGGCCCAGCTCTCCCAAATTTTGGATTGCACAAGCCTGGCTGAGGGCACACAAGCTCTCAGAGCTCTGTCCCTGCCCCCATCCCACATCCCATGTTTGCCTTCTAATTCCACACCAGGATTTGCTCACCTGCAGGACAAAGGCACAGCCCACCATGGGAAGGACTCCAGCTCCCCCTTCCCAGAGCAGCTGCTGCCAGGCTCTGCTTTCCCACTCCTTTTGGAGACAGAAAAGCCTGTATGTTGCACCAGGCTGAGGGTGAAGGTCAGGGCTGCGCTGACATTGGACAGTGGCCATCCAAGGAGGGGAAAAGTCGGAGCTGTGGCCAGTGGCAAAGGGCACAGTGTGGCGGTGGAGCTGAGCCCTTCCTCTGCCTCATCCTGCCTGTCCTGCCCCTTATCCAGCTCCTTCCTCACCTTTGTCCCCAGAGGTGGGACACCTCTTTGTCCCGAGGGTGGTGACCACCCTCTGTTCATATTCCCTTCCTTAATGCTTGGACTTGATGATCTTAAAGGCCTTTTTCATCCTAAATAAATGATCCCATGATTTGGCAGTGCGGTCACCCTTCCCCAGGGATTTCAGGATCATGCTGCAGGATCTTCACTGGGCTGGTGAGGGAAGGAGGGCTCAGGTATTTATCTTGATCTTGAGTGTTCCCAGACTGAAGGTGATGATCCACGGATCACAGGTCCCAATCTCTAGCAGCAACAGCTGCCACCTCCCAAACAAATCTTTTAAACCCTTCTTTGCCGCTGGCAATGGATGAACCGGAGCACGGAGGACATGGGGGACGCTGGTGAACTGGGCTGTGCTGGGTGAGAGGTGACACTGGGAACACAACGCTCCGTGTCCCTCCAGCCCGGGGCCGTGTTGGACATGTCTGAGCCCCAGCGCTGCCCGGCTCCTCCTCGGGGGGCCCGGGGGTGCCAGAGTCCCGGAGGGGACACAGGGAACAGGGGGACGAGGACACGGGTGAGGGCGAGAATCCTTCCCCCTCGGCCTTTCCTAGTGAATTTAACGGGAAATTTTGGACAGAAAGAGAAAGCCGAGGTTGGGCTCCTCCGGGCTCACGTGGGGTCCCAGACCCCACTTTCCTCCCGGTTTTCCCGGGACAGGACGGTGCCCCGGGAGGCCGGGACAGGACCCGCTCCGGGCCGGGTTCCGCACAGCGCGACCCCTCCGTGGGGACCCGCACTACCCAGCTGGGACCCCCCATTCCCACCCCGCCGCTTCGCAGCTCCATCCCAGCACCCGCTTCTCTCTTTTGGGCTGTTTTCCTTTCGGGCCGGGCCCATGCGAGGCACCTTCCCCCGGCCCCGCCACGGGGCTCGGCCGCCGCCGCCCCCGAGGAGGGCTGAGCCCCCCGG